CTCACAGTTATTGTGAAAATAAAATGAGACATATTTGAAATTGTCTGCAAACTCTAAAGCACAATGTAGCCAGAATACATTATAATAACTATGATTTATGAGTCCTAAATCTCTTTCAAGCTTCAAGGGGTTTTAGTATTTGGAGATGTGATGATCAAATACTTAAGTACATAAGAACAAAAATTTTCGTATCTCATCAGAACCATGGTTCATTAAGCCCAATATTGTCATTGGCGGAGAAACCCAAGGGTACGCAGAAGGCTGCGGTTATTGTCCTTGATGTCAACTTCAAAGGCTAGCGACAAAACCCAACATGTTCTAATTCCATTTAGTAATCAATTATAACATTACCCTCTACGATTTACTTTAATCTTTCGAAAGGTATATTTGTACTATCAACTTGTGTCCTCTTGTTCTGTTTTCAGAGTGAGGCTTTACCTTTTCATTTCTAAACTTACTATGTTAGCTTCTTTCAGATTTCAAGGGAAAGGAACAGAGGGATTTATTGTAAACTTTTATGACGAAAAAAGGAAATCCAGGAATTTGTCTCAGCAGCTGTATTTGTAGATGTGGTGAACCTGAATATAGTCTTTATTCTCTTTCAGAATATAATAAAAAAAATTAATAGCCACTGAGCACTTACCCTATGGCAGGGACTACCCGAAGCACTTTATGTAGATATCATATAACTGCACAGCACATTGGGAGGCAGGCTCCCTCATTTCCATATGTGGAAAATGAGAATCAGAGAGGCTAAGGAACTTGAACAATGTCACAGAGCTGGTAAGTGTATTTGAACCCAAGGAGTCTCACTCTGGAATGTGTGCCATCCTTCAAAAGTGTTTCTCAGGGCCACGGACCTGCTGGCTCACGCCTGTAATCCCAGCACTTTGGGAGGCTGAGGCAGGTAGATCACCTGAGGTCAGGAATTTGAGACCAGCCTGGCCAACATGGTAAAATCCCATCTTTACTAAAAACACAAAAATTAGCCAGGTGTGGTGGTACAGGTCTGTAATCCCGGTTACTTGGGAGGCTGAGGCACGAGAATCACTTGAACCTGGGAGGTGAAGGTTGCAGTGAGCCGAGATTGCGCCACTGTACTCCAGCCTGGGCGACAGAGTGAGATGCTATCTCAAAAAAAAAAAAAAAAAAAAAAGAAAGAAAGAAAAAGAAAAAAAAGAAAAGTATTTCTCAGACCAGGCACAATGACTCACTCCTGTAATCCCAGCACTTTGGGAAGCCGAGGCAGGCAGACTGTTTGAGCCCAAGAGTTCAAGGCTGCAGTGAGCTAGGTGACAGAGCAAGACCCTATCCGAAAAAAACAAAAAAGGTATCTCTGTGGTGCTGATACCAAAGGCTGACTTGGCATTTACTTCTCAGCTTCTGTTGCTGCCCTCCCCTTTGGGGTGTCTTCATTAAAAGTGTCCTGAGAGTGAATATGATTGAGTTTGCTCGCCATGCATCAGTTTAGATGACCCTCAAACCCCACATTGGATAGGGTTCTCATGATAAGCCACTTCATCCCTTAAATCCAGCCCACATAGCTGTCTTGGGCAGGTACCTGGCCCTATTGGTTCTGACAGGATAATAAGATCACATCACACAAAGAAAGATCTGGGGGCATGGCAGGCAGCTCAAAGTTTTCGGACTATCCAGTCTTGCTTAAAATGCAGAATGTTCTCTGACTTCAAGGGTTCTCCCTCTGCTCTTGCCTTTTGAGACTGAAGAGTCCTTATTCTTTCTCTGACATTGTTTCTGGTCTTCTCTAGTTCTATTATGAATTAATTGAGACATAGAAATCAACCATATATATCTTTTTTCCAGTCTGAATGCATCAAGGTGTCAAGAAGGGAGGATAATCTTTTTCTTTTGTCTCTGGCATCTTCATGTTGAAGCCTCTCAGAACACGGTCTAATTTCTTTTACAGGGCATAACAGTCCGTGATGGTACAGCTCCAGTGGATCTTTCTAGTGTCATCTACAGACACGTCCCTTGAAAAGCCCTATGTGAGAACCACACTCAATTGTCAGGATGTGGTATAATGTACTCTAATGCCCTCATGCCATTGCTCATGCTGTGTTTCTCTACTTGAAATGTTTTCCGCTACCCCATGCTTTTGGTATGGCATTGTGATAGAGTGGTTAAAAGCATGGGTTCTGGGGTCAAATAATTACGGATTTAAATTCCAGCTCTGCTTGGGCAAGTTTCTTAACCCCTGTGAGCCTTAGTCTCTTTACCTGTCAAGTGGCAATAATCATATTCATCCCCTGGGGTTGAACACTCACTTAGAGAATGCACATCAAGTGGTCATTGCAATGCCTGACAAAGAGCAAACACTCTGTAAACAGAAGTTCTCCCTAGTATTTCAGGGCCCAGATTGTATACCTCTGCCTTTCCTTTTTCCTTGCTCTCCCTTAAACAAGATCCCCTATTCTTCCATGACAATGGTCAATTTTTCATCTGGCTACCATAAGCCATTATACATTAAGTGATAAGATAGTATTCCAAGATGTTAACCATTTTTCCCTCTGTGATCTGATCTCTCTCTTCTTTTTTTTTTTTCTTTTTTTTTTTTTTTTGAGACAGTTTAGTTCTTGTTGCCCAGGGGCTGGAGTGCAATGGCGCGATCTCAGTTCACTGCAACCTCTGCCTCCCAGGTTCAAGCAATTCTCCTGCCTCGGCCTCCCGAGTAGCTGGGATTACAGGTGCGTGCCAGCACCTCAGGCTAATTTTTGTAGTTTTAGTAGAGACAGGGTTTCACCATGTTGGCCAGGCTGGTTTCAAACTCCTGACCTCGTGATCCACTGCTTCGGGCTCCCAAAGTGCTGGGATTACAGGCGTGAGCCACTGAGCCCGGCCTTGTGATCTCTTTTCCCTAATTTCCCACCCCTCTATTCAAACCACTGGTCTTTTTGTACTAATACCTCAGGAAAATGACATGGCAGCAGAAAACAAAGAAATCATGAGACTATTCCTGGCTTCTTGGTTTCAAAACTCCAGTTCCTCAGGGTATCAGGAAGAAGTTATAGATTTGACCTGGGGGAAGGACTGTAAGGGACTGTGGCAGCTATGGTCTAAGGGCCAACACCATTCAGCATTAGCCAATTGTTGCCATATAGGACTTTGGGACCATGGCTACAGGAGCCTCCTGCTTTTGAAGAGAAACTAGAAGCAATCCGGATTCTTAAAAAGTGAGTATAATATCAAACATCACCCGTTGCAATTTTTTCTTTCAACTCACTTATTCTACACAAATATATTCAGGAACAACTGATGGGTTAGAAGTTGGAAATACAAAGACAAACAAGATAGTTTCTGTACCAAGAGCTCAGTCTGGATAATTAGACACATAAAAAGAGGATATGGCATTGAGTGGTAAGTCTTAGGTCAGTGATTTCCAATGCACAATCACTAGAAGGTAGCAGCAGGGAACTTACTAAAAATGCAAATTTGCAGTCCGGGTGTGGTGGCTCATGCCTGTAAACCTAGCACTTTGGGAGGCCGAGGCAGGTGGATCACTTGAGGTCAGGAGTTCAAGACTAGCCTGGCCAACATGGTGAAACCCCGTCTCTACTAAAAATAAAAGTTTAGCTGGGTGTGGTGGCACATGCCTGTAGTCCCAGCTACTAAGGCAGGAGAATCGCTTGAACCTCGGAGGCTGAGATTGCAGTGAGCCAAGACCACGCTAGCTCATGCCTGTAATCCCAGCACTTTGGGACGCCGAGGCAGGCGGATCACCTGAGGTCAGGAGTTTGAGACCAGCCTGGCCAATACAGCAAAACACCGTCTCTAAAAAAAAAAAAAAAAAAATTACCTAGGTATGGTGGCACGTGCCTGTAATCCCTGCTACTCCGGAGGCTGAGGCAGGAGAATCGCTTGAATCTGGGAGGGTGCAGTAAGCCAAGGTCATGCCACTGCACTCCAGCCTGGACGACAGAGTAAGACTCCATCTCAAAAAAAAAAAAAAGCAAACTTTCAGCCCCAATTTACCAATCAGAAAGCTGAGAATGGTTTAACAAGCTCTCCAGGTGATTCTGATACACCCTAAAGTTGGAGAACCACCTTGATAATGGAAAGCAAAGAAGACTTTGGCACAGACAACCAACACACTTGAGCCAACCTTGAGATCCTCTGCCATCTATAAATCACTTTCGCAGTCCCTTCCAGGCTAGATGCTAAATCGGTTGCAATCTGGTAATGCACAAGGATGAGACACAAGTTGTATCTTGTCTCCATAATAAGTAAATTGTAAGAACTTCAAAGGCAGGGTTGATTCTACTTTTGGTCTTTTTCCCATTCTTCTCATATTTCAGATGTCAGTGCAACACTTAGAAAATACAAGTACTGAAATTTAAGTAGCTCTTTAGGAAATAAGAATAATTAACCTGGTGCAAGGGTTCTACCTTTATGAGGGAGAAATTGGAAAACATACATGTACTTACAAATTTTCATAGCTTTTCTTATTGTTCTAAAATATACATAAAACGTAGCATTTTAACCCTTTAAAATGATGTACAGGTCAGTAGCATTAAATACGTTCACACTGTTCTGCAACCATCACCTCTATCCATTTACAGAATTTTTGCATCTTCCCAAATCGAAACTCCGTACCCATTAATTAATTGGTGCATTTTGCCTTTTTTTTTCTAATAGGATTTTTCTTTCCATTGATTTGTATGAGCTCATTGTAAATTAGAGAGACCAGCCCTTTGTCTTCTGCCAATTTATTTTTTTATTAATTCTATTCATTGGCGATTTAAAAAATTCTGTTCAGAGAATTAAAAATTTTCCGTGGAATCATAAAATCGTGTTTAGAATTATATTATGAAATCCTTTATGACTTGACTGTTGCTGTCTTGAAAACTTTCATCATCTCAACGTTATGAATATCTGCACTTACATTTTCTTCTAAGTTTTTGTTAACATTTCAATATTTAATCCACAAAGGTTTCACTTACATGTGTTTTCCCCAAATGGGTAATCAGCTCTTCAAACATTATTTACTGGACAGGCCATCCTTCCCCTACTAACGTAAATGTCATCTTTTCATACTAAATTTCTCCATACACTGGTATTTACTCCTACATCTTCCATCAGTGCTTTTGAGAATTTTGAACACTCTTCCATCACACGCATGTACCATCATTTATTTAATCTATCTCCTATTAGTAGGCATTTGGGACGTTTCCTGCTCTTCCATACTAAACAACGCATATAATTTTGGACTACATTAAACAATTCTCTGCCTCAGTGGTTCAAGTTGGGTAAATTATGCGTTTACACTTTTCTTCGGATTACTTTTAAAATGACAACCACTATGTTTTCCTGGTCTCAATTACCAGAGAATTGGCAAGAAACCTGACAGCTGGGGCTTAGGATTCCCCGCGCCAGACCTCTGAACTACACCAGGGGGCGCAGTTTCCCTACTCGGCCTCGGCCACATCCGGGTTCCACCGCAGATTCGGGCAGGGAGCAGGCGGAACCTTTCTACCGCGTCTCTAGCTAACACGGCGGGGACAGTTTAGGCCTCCGCGCACCGTTCTCCGGGAGTCTTGCAGTTCGCTTGGTGCAGGGAAGGCGGGCGCGGAGGTTCTATCTGCTTCTTCCTCCTTCCTGAGCAGCATGGACGTGCTAGCGGAGGAGTTTGGGAACCTGACTCCGGAGCAGCTGGCTGCGCCGATCCCGACTGTAGAGGTGAGTGCCAGGCACTCATGGAGCGTCAGGGGCCTGGATGCGCCTTGAGGGGGCGTTGCCCGGAGTGCCGGGCCGCTAAGGGGCGGGCTGGGGGTTTGTGCGCATGCGCCGGGCATCTGCGCATGCTCAGAGCGTCGCGCGTGCCAGGCTTTTTCCAGAGCCGGCATCCGCGTGAGCGAGTGAAGGCTGAGCCCAGAGGAGCTGTCAGCCGCTGCGGGGCTCCAGAAGCCCCGCGGCTGGCTCTCGGGTTGGAGCTCTTCCAGCATAGGTGTGCGTGGGGAGGACCGGCCCTCGCACTTACTGTGGGGGACGTATTGCATGTTTGCAGTCTTACAAAGGACCCCTGGGGGCCAGGGAGCTCTGGCCGCTTGCATGAGGCACCACAGCTGGCTGTGGGGGTAAAACCAGATCGTCTGAATTCCAAGCTAGTCATCTTGCCTTTTAACCTGAAGTTCCAGTTTGGGTTGCAGGGGAATTTTAAACGCCCTGAATATTTACTAAAGAATTTGCCTGTGTGTTTTCTCAGGGAGAGACTCCATAGCTTTCATCAGATTCTCAGAAGTTAAGGACAGCTGTCCCACAGCGAGCTGCCCAATGAAGTACGGCTGTCGACATGTTTTGTTATCTGATAAGGCACATATCATAACCTCTCTGAGCCTCAGAATCTACACTGACGTGGAATAGGGAAGTGGAGACATGACCGGAGAAGATAGCGAAGGAGAGATTTCAGGGAGAGAGAATAAGATACTTGAAACCTCCTCGGCAAGACCATTGGATGTTTTTGAGGAAGGAAAGTAAATCCAGTAGTATTAGAGTGAAGAAAAATAGAGGAGGAGAGATAAAAGACAGGGTTAAGTAAGGGTCTTGATTATGAAAAGTTTCAATAAACATCTGACAGAGCTTGGACTTTGTCTTGGAGCAGAGCTTTTGAAGGGTTTAAGCAGGAAAGCGATATGATCAGTAAATCTATCGGATTATAGGAACCTCGTTGGCTAGGCGTGGTGACTCACTCCGGTAATACCAGCAGTTTGGGAGGCCAAGGCGAGCGGATCACTTGGGCTCAAGAGTTTGAGACCAGCGTGAGCGTGGGCGACACGGCAAAACGCTATCTCTGCAAAAAATACAAAAATTAGCCGTGTGTGGTGCTGTGCACTTGCTGTCCCGGCAACTCAGGAGGCCGAGGTGGGAGGATCACTTGAGCCTGGAAGGTCGAGGCAGCAGTGAGCTGTGATTGTGCTACTGCACTCCAGCCTGGGTGACTGAATGAGACCTTGTCTCGAGGAAAAGAAAACAAAACCTCTTTATAATAATTTGACAAGTTAAGGAAATTGGATTAGCAGTTCGTCAGATTCAGTCTATGAGTGCATGCAATAGGCTGCTGATCTTCATCAGGCAAAACTGTGTGTGTGTGTGTTTTTTTTTTTTTTTGAGGTGGAGTCTCGCTCTGTCACCCAGGCTGGAGTGCTGTGGTGCGATCTCAGCTCACTGCAAGCTCCGCCTCCCAGGTTCACGCCATTCTCCTGCCTCAGCCTCCCAGGTAGCTGGGATTACAGATGCCCGCCATCATCCCCAGCTAATTTTTGTATTTTTAGTAGAGAAGGGGTTTCACTGTGTTAGCCAGGCTGGTCTCGAACTCCTAACCTCGTGGTCCGCCACCTCGGCCTTCCAAAGTGCTGGGATTACAGGCGTGAGCCACCGCGCCCCACCACAAAACTGTATTTTAACCAGAAAAGTAAATATCAAGGAGCCAGCATTCCCTGAGCACTTGCTAATGTAGCAGGCTCTGTTTAACCATAACATGCGTTATGTTATTTAATCCTCTGAAATAAGTGCTATTTTCACCCCCATTTTGCCAGAGAGGCCCAGAGATGTGAAGTAAATAGCCTTGCATTAGAAGCCTGGTAAGTGGCTAATCTGACTCTTGTCAGTCTGACTCTAGTCTTCATCCCTAACTGCTGATCGGATTGCTTCTCCAGAGAGCTGAAAAAATAAGCCTGGGAGAGTTCTATGTATTGTGTGAATTTACACAGCTATGAAGTGATCAGTGCTATAATTCCAGCCTTCTGATTCAAGAATAACAGTTCCTCTTCCTGCACTCTGGATCCAGTCCACCATCACCTCTAAAAAGTCTTGAGTTCTTAGTCTATGCTTATCTGAAACTTCATTCCCACTGTTTTCCAGCCCAGAACCACTCTCCTCTCTTACATCCTAACTCTCCTACCTGGCACCTGACTTGTCCCAATCCAGTCTGTTCCTTGCTCTGCAGCCAGAGCTGTCCGTCTAAACACACAAACATGGTTATGTTGCTCCCTTGGTTAAAATTCTTCAATCTCTGTTGCTTTTAGGGCAAAATCTAGTGTTTACCATGTTTGTAATAAATTTCCTCAGTCTGACCAGTAGTTACTTCTCTAGCGTCTTTTCCCATGAGTCTCCCCTCTCCCTCCCTTGAGATCTTTCTACTCTGCTCGTACAATTCCTTCTGGATCACTCTCCCATTCCTATTTGTAGATTAAATCCCACATATCTATGATACAACTTCCCTAGGAAGGCCTTTCCTGAGTCTCCTAGAAGATGGTAGATCTCTGCTACTTGCTGCCATTTCCTTTTAAATTGAGATATTAAAATATTTACTTAAACTTTCCAACTTCAGTGTTTTCTCTAAAACTTTTTCTAGATAAGAGCTCAGTTTTACTTGAACTGGCCATGCCTGGTGTGTATTTTTTTGTGCTTATGGTAGTACAGCAGCATGGTAGTATGGTAGAAATAACACAAGCTTTGGAGCCAATTAATCAGTTATTTGTTGAATAAATATTTGTCAGTATTACTGAACACTTACCTGGTGGTGTATTATTCACAGGGTTTATATAAGTTCAAAAAATGTGTTTTCTGCCTCCCAGTGTGTTATAGGCTTATAGAGAGAGACATGTAAGCAGGTGGAATAACATGCAATAGGTACTGTGATACAAGTAGGCGAGGGGTGTATTGGTATTACAAATGTAGCTGGGATGTGATGCCTGAACTGAGTTTGCCAGATGTGGATGAAGTGTGGTGGTAGGGAAGCATTCCAGATAGAAGGAGGAGGCGTGGGCACAAGTACAGCTGCAAGCACAGCGTGTGATGTATGCCTCACTGTGGGCTCAAGACATGGTGAAGAGGGTGGGGAGGCACTGAAGAGGTGTAGAGAATGAGGTGCTCAGCTGTGCACATGAGGACATGCACACTGGCTTTAGTGTGTTAGCATTGAAAGGGATGAGCAGAAAGATTAGAAAGGAGGTATTGCCGCAGTCCAGGTGAAAGATTATGAGGGCCTCAACTGGCACAGGAGCAGAGGATAAATGCGAGGAAGGTTACAAGGAGGTCGACTCAGTAGAATTTTTGTTTTCCTGTCGATTAAGAGAAGTCGGAAAGTTAGGACTACCGGGTATCTAATTTGGGATTGACTGGGATAAATGGTGATATTCACTGAGATTGGGAATGGAGCTGGGGGAAGATTTAATTTTGGATGTACTGAGTTTAAGTAGCCTCTGAGGCTGTAAGGTATCACTGCGCAGTCAATAGTTGGAGGCGACAGGCCCATACCCAGTAGCTTACTGCAGCAGTGATATTCACTCATTTATTTATTCATTCAGTATTTACTGGAGTCTTATATGTGCCAGGCACTGTGGTAAACAGGATAGACGGGGTCACTGCCTTTGAAAGAGCCCACATTTGGAAATGGGGGGCTGTGGGATGAGATGGGGGAAGCGAAACAACACTTTCAAACAGTGTTGTTTGAAATCCTCCATTCCCAACCCTACTTGAGAATGAGAAAAGACATCGCCAGGGATAGAACTTTGAAGAACACCAACGTTTACAGGTTGGCAGAGGAAAAGAGACGGGAGAAGGCCCGGCCAGAGGAAGGAAAGACATAAGAGAATGATGTCACAGGTCGTTATAAGACAGTGATTGGCATGGCCAGATACTGTGGAAAGGGAATGTGAGGGGGCATCAAGGGAGGTCTTTTGAAGTCACAGCCTTGGTGACCTCTGTCGAGCCGTTTCACTGGCAGGTAGGTCAGAGTCCTGACTATAATGGAATGAAGGAGTGGGAAGCGAGGAACGAGAAGCTAAATATGGGGTAATTTGGGAGAGGTCATAAGCTGAAGGGCAGGGAAGAAAGTAGTCAGAGGAGCTGCTGGGTCTTAAATTTTTTTTTGTTCTTTTTAAATGGGAAGATTTGAATAATTTACTAGTTTTAAATAGAACAGGTTGAATATCAACAACTGAACTGGGGCAAGGTTTACAGTCTTCAGGAGAAGGTTGGCAGGATTGTGTTCATGGCAGAAGGGTTAGACTTAGACCAAGGAATGGATGGTCCTTCCTTTGAAATGGGAGGAAGCGAGCATGAGAAGGGGTGTAGAGAAAGGAATTTGAAGATGTGGGAGTACTAGCTCCTAGGGCTGCCATAACATAGTAACCACAAACTAGGTGGCTTAAACAACAGAAATTTATTTTCTCCTAATTCTGGAGGTTAGAAGTCTGAGATCAGGGTGACAGCAGAGCCGGCTCCTTCTGAGGGCTCTGAGAGAGGATCTGCTCTGTGCTCTCCCCCACTATAGGTGTTTAAAACTCTGGCAATCTTTGGCCTCCCTTGGCTTGCAGAAGCTTCACCGAGACTTCTACCTTCATCTTCATATGGCATTGTCCTTGTGTGCATCTCTATGTCCAATTTCTCTTTTTTATGAGGACACCAGTTGCATTGGATTAGGGCTTACCCTAATGACTCATTTTACTTAATCACCTTTGTCAAGACCCCATCTTCAAAAGCAGTCACATTCTGAGATACTTCGGGTTAGGACTTTAGCATGTGAATTTTGAGAGGGACACAATTCAACCTATATCATTGTCATTCTTCTATTTTTAAATTTAGGTGTAATTTATATAATAAAAAGTATGGATACTAGATATTCGGTTACATTGGTTTTATATTTATGTGCTATATGTGGACATTTGCATCACCCCAGAAAGTTCCCTTATGACCCTTTTCAGTCTATCCCCCCAACCACCTTTTGATTTCTGTCATCATAGATTAGCTTTGCCTGCCTCCCTTCTGGAAAATGTTTTTGACTATATCCAGGTGTCTGCCACCCTGCCTGGCTACTCCTCGGTCTCCTTTGCTGGAGCTGCCTTCTGCTCCTCCTCTCTAATTGTTGAATGTTCTTGGTTGGTCTCACTTTATGGAACTCTTCTCATCTACACTCCATAGGTGATCTCATCTATCACATGCCTTTAATTACTATCCACTTGTTAATCTCTCCCTAGTTTACATCTCCCGGCCACTCCATTCCCGAATTCCAGTCTCATTTGTTGCCTCTTTGACATTTCCACCTGAATGTCTAATGCAAGCTTAACATACCCAAACCAAACTTCTGGTAGCCCCTCCACACCTAAACCTGCTGTTCCTACAGTGTTCCTCATCTCCATCAATTGTAACTCTGTCCCTCTAGTTGCTCAGGCAGTGTAGGAAGCTATCACCATATGTGCCATCCTTCTGTAGCCCTGAGATGAGCTCTGACCAGACAGTAGTTGAGAGAGAGTGGGAGGGAGACAGAACTCCCTTTGGGTCTTGAGAACCAGCTCTCCCACCAGATTCTCTGAGCCTTATTTTCCTTTTCTCAAACTGGCAGACTTCACTTAGGAAGTGTCATGAGCATAAAAGAAAGGATTGAAAAGTGCTTAAAATATTGAGTCATCAAGAAGGGATTAAGTTATATTCTGTTTAAGAAATCTGTAGTGTTATGTATGTATGTATATACATATTTATATGCATATGCACACATGTGATTTCCATAAAAATGTTAAAAATTGTTCTTTTTGTTTTGACGTACTTTCCTTTGCTTATTTTGGTACATTAAAATAACATGAATGTACTGTTGCTGGTACAGAGTTCTGATATTCTTCTTGTTTTGGCTCACAGGAAAAATGGAGGCTGCTTCCAGCATTTTTAAAGGTAATTGTTTCACATTTAATAATAATTGGTTATTTTTCAGATGAAAAGGTCAAGAAATAAGCCATTTTTTAAAGATCAAATTTTTGTCATCAACATTTTTTGATTTTGTGTAGCTGTGTTGCTAGGTTTTGGAAATACAAGGAATTATAAGGTAAAATCTCTGCCTGAAAGGTGCTGGTTTGGGGAATGGTAGTCTAATTTTAGAGAGAAGTAGTAGTACATGCATAGTAGCATGGCACATGATTGAAAACCAAAGTGCTATCAGCAAAAGAGCAATGGTCAGAGAGGGCCACCCAAATGAAGTGAGACATAAACCACATCTTAAGAGAAGAAGGTTTAAGCTGAAAGCTGGGTGCAGAGAGTATGGCTTAATCAAGGTGTTCAAGAGGAGCCTCCACAGGGTCTGCAGGAAACAGCGACCAGTCAAGAGGAGTTGCTGAATGTGATACGATGTGGTGTCGGACTTCAATTCAATTTCCAAGAGCTTATGCTAAGACGTAGTGAGTCCCACAGCGAGAGACCACTTGGTACCCGCTAGGATAGCTATGATCAAAATAGAATGTTAATAAGGGTGTGGAGGAATGGGAACTGTCCATTGTAGGAACGTAAAGTGTTATAACCACTTTGGAAAACAGACTGGCAGTTTCTCAAATGGTTAAACAAAAAGTTACCACATCCTCCAGCAATTCCACTCCTAGATATCTGCCCAAGAGAAGTGAAAACGTGTCCATGCAGAAACCTGTACACAAATGCTCATAGCAGTGTTATTCATAATAGCCAAAAGTGGAAACAACCCAAATGGACATCAGCTGCTGGATGGATACACAAAATATGATATATCTGTACAACAGAGTATTATTTGGCAATAAAAATAAATTGAGTATATTACCTGCTGCAACATGGACGAATCTTGAAAGCATTGTGCTAAGTGAAAGAATGGAGACTTGAAAAATGAGGCTGGTCACGGTGGATCATGCCTGTAATCCCAGCACTTTGGGAGGCTGAGGTGGGCAGATCACGAGGTCAGGAGTTTGAGACCACCCTGGCCAACATAGTGAAACCTCATCTCTACTAAAGATACAAAAAATTAGCTGATGTGGTGGCGGGCCCCTGTGATCCCAGCTACTTGGGAGGCTGAGACAGGAGAATCGCTTGAACCTGGGAGGCAGAGCTTGCAGTGAGCCGAGATCGCACCACTGCAGTCCAGCCTGGTGACAGTGTGAGACTCCGTCTCAAAAAAAGAAAAATGAGTAGAGTTTTGTCTCTACTCATTTTGAACTCTACTCTAGAATTCAGTTGGGTGTTATGGGCAGAGGGAAGAGTGCTGGGAAATGAGGCTGGGAAAGTTGTCGGGGCCAGATTCCTGATCAGATTTGAAAGCCATGTTAAGGATTTCGCTTTTCTTCTAAAAGCCATAGGAAGCTATTGAGTTTCTAAGTAGTGGATTGACCAAGAATCAAATAAAATGGTTGTAAGGTCAATACATTTTTCTTTTCCTCTAGGAGACCAGGTCTTGCTACATTGCCCAGGCTAGATTTAAACTCTTGAGTTTGATCCTCCTGCCTCTGCCTCCTGAGTAGCTGCGACTATAGGAATGTGACACCTTGCCCGGCCTTTTTGTTATTTTTTAAAAGGACCTGCACATAAATGGAGAAGAAGGTGCTGGGCACAGTGGCTCACACCTGTAATCCCAGCACTTTGGGAGGACGAGACAAGGCGGATCATTTAAGGTTGGGAGTTTGAGATTGACTAGCCTGGCCAACATGGTGAAACCCTGTTTCTACTAAAAATACAAAAATTAGCTGGGCATGGTGGCGGGTACCTGTAATCCCAGCTACTCAGAAGGCTGAGGCACCTGAACCACTTGATGCAGGGAGGCGGACATTGCAGTGAGCCAAGATCGCGCCATTGTACTCCAGCCTGGGCAATACAGCGAGACTCTGTCTTCAAAAAAATTTTTTTTTTTTTGTTAAAAAGTAAGATACAAATACACACATTAGCCCGGGCCAGAATCATCAGTATCACTGTCTTCCACCTCCGTGCCTTGTCCCACTGGAGGGTCTTTATGGACAATAACACACATGGAGCTGTCATCTTCTAGGATAACAATGCTTACTTCTAGAATACGTCCTGAGGGGCCCGCCGGAGGCTCTTCTTGAGGAGGGGGTCACTCTTTTCAGAAATACACGCTATGAAATCAAATCAAGTCGTAAGTCGTCAGGCGATAGGAATTTTTCAGCTCCGTTATAATCTTTATAGGACTGTTGTCAGATATATGCTCCATAGTTGAATGAAGTGTTATGTGGCACATGACCATATATTCACATACTCATATTTTGATTTCCGAAAGTCAGATTGCTTCTCAAGGAGGAAAACTCTCGAGGATATACTAGTAAGATGATGCAGAAATGGAATGAGAACACACTAATGAAAAAATTTACTAAATAAAATTCATGGATTTTTTTTCTCACTTTGGTTTTGATAAAAATTTGATGTTCACCTATTATTAGATTTCATTATATGATTTATTATTTTGTTGCTAACCTGTTTACTTTCTCTTTCTATTTGTTTAGGTGAAAGGCCTTGTGAAACAGCATATAGATTCATTTAACTATTTCATTAATGTAGAGGTAAGCATCAGACATTAGAAATAGACATAAACTAAGGATTAATTGGAAGCCAGAGTCTTTACTAATGTTGCATTTTCCACTGCAGATAAAGAAGATAATGAAAGCCAATGAAAAGGTTACAAGTGATGCTGACCCTATGTGGTACTTAAAGTAAGGAACCAACTATTCTTAATTTGCTATGTTAGATCTATGTGGGTTACATCTAACATTTTTTAAAGTGAGTGAAGTTGCTATCAAAACTCTTTTTAAAATCATCGTCTTGGCCAGGCGCGGTGGCTTATGCCTGTAATACCCAGCACTTTGGGAGGCCAAAGTGGGCAGATCACCTGGGGTCAGGAGTTCGAGACCAGCCTGGCCAACATGGTTAAACCCTGTCTCTACTAAAAATACAAAATTAGCCAGGCGTGGTGGTACACATCTGTAATTCCAGATACTCAGGAGGCTGAGGCAAGAGAATCACTTGAATCTGGGACAGGGAGATTGCAGTGAGCTGAGACTGCCACTGCACTCCAACTCGGGCGACAGAGCAAGACTCCGACTCAAAAAAAAAAAAAGAAAAAATAAATCATTGTCTTTTATTAACTATAAAGTGCTCAAATTAAATTTTTAACTGGCAAATTATAATGAGTTATGGTTGGGAAATTTTTGAAACTATTAGATTTTATATATTTAAATTTTTATTTTGAAATAATGTTAAGCTTAAAAGAAAAACTGCAAAAATAGTACAAAGAGTTCTTCAATATTCTTCACCAAGCCTTCACTGATATTAACATCTTACATAACCATGGCACAATGATCAAAACCAGGAAGTCAGCACTGATATGATGTGGTCTACTAATCTGTAGACCTTATTTGATGTTTTCTCACAAATGTTCTTTTTCTGGTGTAGGAATCAGTCCAGAGCTCCATGTTATGTTTAGTTGTCTTGTATCCTTAGTCTCCTCAATTTTTGACAGTCCCTCAATCTTTCTTGGTCTTTCATGACATTGACACTTTTGAACAATCTAGTCAGTATTTGTAGAAGTTCCTTTAATTTGAGTTTGTATGACATGTGATCATTATTAGATTGGGTTTTACTTTTTTGGCAAGAATACCACAGAAGCAATGTTTTGTGTTCTCACTGATTCATATTGGGGTTACAGATGCCAGTATGTTTTATTACTGATGATTTTAACTTTGTTCACTTGGTTAAGGTAGAATCTTCCAGATTTCTCCACTGAAAAGTTACTATTTTTCCTTTTGTAGTTAATAAGTATCTTATAGGGAGATTCTTTGAGACTATGCAACTACCCTTTCTTATCATAATTTCACCAACAATTTCGGCATACATTGATGATTCTTACCTATAACAGTTATCATTGTGGGCTTACCTAAGGGTGAACCTTTGTTTCTATCATTCCTTCTGCATTGATACTGGAATTCTATACGGAATAGTTTCCTCTTCCCCTCACTTATCTCTCTATATTATTAATTTATATCAATTTGGACTCATGGATGTTTTATTTTATTCTGTGAGTACTATCATATATGTATCCAGTACTGTCATTTTTCTGTTGTTCAGACTGTTTCAGCTTTGACCATAGGGAGACCCTTCAGATTGACTCCTGTGTCCTTTCATGATGCCACCATTATTTTTTGAGCACTCCTTTGCTTTCTCACACTGTAAGATGTAGTTCATCTGGTATGCCCCTGTCCTAGATTTGGAATCAAGGAGCCCCAGAGTCTCCCTTTTGTTGGAAAATAGTACTTAGAATCCAAGATATGAACACTAAGATTTCAGCAGGCAGAGCTCAGAAATATGTGTATGTATATGAGCACATACATGCAGACACATCTATATTTCTTTATCCTATCCATTTTTACATATATTAAAAACCATGCAGACTGATACCTCCAGTTTCAGTTCAGCACTGCAGGACTCATTCTAACCTTTTTCCTTTCCTTAACTTTTATCCCAATAATGAGAAATCTGGCTCCCATTATCTGCAATATTAAAAAAAATTTTTTTTTTCAATCCTAGACTATACATAAAGTTTCAGAATTGTTAACTCATATCTCTGTGAGATAAAATTTACTAGAGTATAAAATCTGTGCACTGTCCTTTTTACCTTTAGCCTCTCAATGTCTCCCAGGGTTACTTACTTTAGTTCTTTTCTTTATTTTTTCAGTATGTGAAACATTATGATTTAAGAGTTAAACTTGCACAAAAAAGTATATTCAGAAAACAGTTGTTCCACTTCCAGTTCTTTCCACCCTGTTCCCGGCCACTCTCCATAGGTAACCGTTCTCATTAGTTTTCGCTTTATCCTTTTTATCCTTCTTTTGCACAAATGAGCGTATTTATTTTTTTGCCTTTATGGCCTCTTCTTTCTTTTACAAATGATAGCATATCATCAGTACTTTTTGCACTTTGCTCTTTCATTAAGTATCGTTTTTAGGGAGCTGTATGTCCAGTATTTTTGTAAAGAGATTTGTAATATTTTTTAAAAAAAGATACTTTGATAATATTTCCCTTCTTTGTAAAGCTATATGTACTATCACTTCAAGAAGATCTCCAATTTTAATATTTAATTTGTTGTCCTTAGCAAGATAAGCATATATCAAAACATAATCTTTGTATTTGGAAGGAAAATAGCTTGTTTGCTTTTATGATCTTTGAAGAAGTATAATTCGTACACTAATTTGCTTTTCAGATATCTTAATATCTACGTTGGGCTTCCTGATGTTGAAGAAAGCTTCAATGTAACTAGACCAGTGTCCCCTCATGAGGTAATTACGAACCTTACTTTAATTGGACTTGTTTGCTTTAACTCAGAGTGTGCCCTTAATATATACTCTTAAAAGATCATTTAAAAACGAGATGGGGGGGACATTCTTTTGAGAAAAAGGGATTAAAGTTCAATGTGGGCCATACTTCTACTACAGAAGGAGCACTTTGAAGTGGTCAGGACCCTGTTGCAGAGAGAAGGAGCAGTAACTATCAAATTCCTGATTCTCTTTCAGTGCCGTTTGAGAGACATGACATACTCTGCCCCTATTACAGTGGATATTGAATATACCCGAGGCAGCCAGAGGATCATCCGCAATGCCTTACCCATCGGCAGGTGAGAAATGACATCTGTATTAGAGCCACACTGCCTGGATTCCAGCCCCATGATGTGACCCCATTTCCTCATCTGAAAAATGCAAGAAATGCTGCCTATTTCATAGGTCCAATGAGTCAGCATGTGTAAAGCACTTAGAATAATGTCCAGCATATAGTCGTGGTGGTTACCATTTATTAATTGTAAAACCTTTTCTAAAAAGTTGAGGAAAATGTTTCCCTTTCCTACCGTAACTCTAAGCTGCTAGGGAAACACTAGGTACGATAGCATTTCCGTGAACTCTCCTGGACAGGCCTTGGTGGATTCCAGGTATATTCTGAGATTGAGTTTTCCTGGAATTTAACTTTTTCTCATCTACAAGTATTTAAGGGAGAAATTACTTACTTGCCTGGTACAAGTTTGGAAATGATAGCATCCACTTGCGTTTTTGCAATCTGCCTTTCCTAATTAGGGAAATACATTGACTCTCCTTTTAGAAATGGACAAAACCCACAATACTATGAGGTGAATAATGATATTAGACTTTAAACTTAGTCCACATAATTTCTGTTCAAGTGTATTTCCCCCTCTCAAAAGTGCTAAGAGCACTTTTGAACAAACATCCATTTGTTCAATAAATATATACCAACTGCCTATCACTTCTTATGTATGATGCTGAGTACTTAGGTGAGTAAAAGATACACAAAATACAGTTCCTATTGGCTACCTTCATTCACAGCTGTCAGGGAAGACTGGCATATGTAATTATGGCACCATCTGGTAAGGGGTCTAGAAGTCCAGAGTTTCATGGGAACATGCAGGTTTAACAAATCCTTCTCCTACACTTCCCTCAAAGGAAGGGGTAATTTGTATTGTTTCTCTCCTCATTCTTCAATTAGAAAAATAAGTAAGACATTAAAATATTCACCTTGGTTTTAGCAGGACTATGTATCAGTGTTTTTGTTCTTGATTTTGTTTTTGTTTTTTTGAGACGGAGTCTTACTCTGTTACCGAGGCTGGAGTGCAGTGGCGTGATCTCGGCTCACTGCAACCTCTGCCTCCTGGGTTCAAGTAATTTGCCAGCGTAAGCCTCCTGAGTAGCTGGGATTATAGGCGTGTGCCACCATACTTAGCTAATTTTTGTATTTTTTAATAGAGATGGGGTTTCGCCATGTTGGCCAGGCTAGTCTTGAACTCCTGACCTCAGGCGATCTGCCCGCCTTGGCTTCTCAGAGTGCGGGGATTACAGGTGCGAGCCACCGCACCTGGCCTATCAGCGTTGAGATGAGAACGTCTCTCTTTCTTATATATGGACCATACTAGTATCCAGTTAAATTTTGGACCATAGCTAAATTATGAACTAGATTGACTGTTGTGAAGAAAAGGCAAGAGAGACTGGAGGAAAACATAAATTCGTAAGACTGATGGTTTAAATCCTGGTTTAAAGAGGGGCCATGTAACTAGCATTTGTTGAATACCTGCTTCGTGCCATACTGTGATAGGCAGTGTTGTTTGGTAGCCCCGCATTCATAAAAATGACCTCTAGTCATTAGAATGCTTATGTGTACTATGCATTATCTAAATTACATATAGAATCTCATTTATTTTTTGGAGTAAAAAGATTTTAGTTTAATCCAAATTATAGTTGTGCTTGGTTAGAAATCAAACAGTACATAAAAACATTTGATTCAAAACAGTAACCTCCCTCCCCTTCCTCACCTTTCATCCCATTCCCAACTTCGTGACTATTTCTGTTATTTTTTCTGGGGGTTATTACATCCATAACTTTATTTTGTGTGTGTGTGTGTTGCAGGGGGCGGAGTTGTTTGTTTTTTTTTGAGACGGAGTCGCACTCTGTTGCCCAGGCTGGAGTACAGTGGCATGATCTCTGCTCTCTGCAGCCTCCGCCCCCCAGGTTCAAGTGATTCACTCACCTCTACCTCCTGAGTAGCTGGGATTACAGGTGCCTGCCACCACACCTGGCTAATTTTTTCTTATTTTTAGTAGAGACAGGTTTTACCATGTTAGTTAGGCTGGTCACAAACCCCTGACCTCATGTGATCCACTCGCCTCGGCCTCCCAAAGTGCTGAGATTACAGGCATGAGCTACCGTGCATGGCCAATATCCGTAACTTTAAATGTGATGCTTTGACCTCTATTTCTTGATACATTAACTGTAAACATTATGTTTTGCCTCCTGATATATGGAATGTGGCTTAGCTTACCTGTGTCACCTACTTTGCTTCTCCCTTCCTCTTCCAAATTTTCCTTCTTGTTTTTAATTCTCTTTTTGGTTACTGTAGTAACTGTAATATTCTTATATCTTCATGTCGTATTACATAACAGTGTGTTCATTTCCCTTGATGTAAAATGACACTATTCTTATTTCTGTCTTCCCATTACTATTTCCTTTTGAACGTAAGTTATTTTGAAGACTTAAGATTTCCCAATTGGTGCTTTATGTCAATTTTTGGAGCTTTGTAGAGACCTGTTTCTATAAATGTTTCGTGTTTGTTTGGAAACAAGGGGTGTTCTCCAGTTGTTTTGTGCCATTGTCTGTGTTTTTCCTTCAGATCAGACTTGTTAATTGTGTTGTTTAGATGTTTTGTATCTGCATTGCTTTTTGATTTGTTTGTTCTATCAGTTACTACAATAGGTATGTTAAAATCTCCCTCTGTGGTGGTGGATTTGTCCATTTGCTTTATGGTTTTGTGTATTTTTGCTTTTTTGAAGCTATGATATTAGGTGCATAGTTTAGAATTATTAAGTCTTCCTAGTAAATTGAACCTTTGATTATTATACATTTATCTTCTTTATCTCTTGTAATATTCTTTGCCTTGAATCTTATTTTGTCTGCTCTTAGCATAGCCACGTTTGCTTTCTTTTGGTTATATTTCTGGCATATCATTAAAGAAATTATTGTCTGTTTAATCTTTTATATGGGCTGGGCACAGTGGCTCACACCTGTAATCCCAGCACTTTAGGAAGCTGAGGCGGGCAGATCACCTGAGGTTGGGAGTTCGAGACCAGCCTGGCCAACATGGTGAAACCCCGCCTCTACTAAAAATACAAAAATTAGCTGGGCGCGGTGGTGCACATCTGTAATCCCAGCTACTTGAGAGACTGAGGCATGAGAATTGCTTGAACCCGGAAGGCAGAGGTTGCAGTGAGCCGAGATTGTGCCACTGTACTCTGGCCTGGGCAATAGAGCGAGACTCCATCTCAAAAAAAAATCTCTTAAATGTCCTTACGTTTTGAGTTTAGTTGAAGTAAACGGCATATGGCTACATTTTTTAAAAAATTGTCTTGAGAATTTAGTTCAATTATATTTGTTATATATATACATACATATATACATATATATTTGAATGTATATCTGTCAACTTATTCTATATTTTAAAGCTGTCTAGCTTTTCATGTTTCAAGTTTTTTCCATTTTTGTTTTTGGATAATGGAAGATTTTTTTTCTCACCCTTCCCCAATTGATTTAAAAGTCATATACAGTATTTCTGATTGTTTATGTTTATCTTAGAAATTTTGAAATGTATACTTAACAAAGTTTAAAAATAAACAATATCTTTATTCTCCTCCTGGCAAGAACAAAGACTTTACAAAGCTTTTAAGTTGGATCAAATCAATCACTTTGACTTATATGCTTTTGTTGTACCAAATTTTTGTTCTATCTTGTTTTGTTTTGGTCTTTTTGAGACGGTCTCACTCTGTTACCCAGGCAGGAGTGCAGTGGTACACTTATTGAGTGTACTCATTGAGGCTCACTGCAGCCTTAACCTCCTGGGCTCAAGTGATCCTCCCACCTCCAACCTCCCCGGTAACTGGGACTCTAAGTGCACCACCACACCTGGCTAATTTTTGTATTTTTTGTAGAGACAGGGTTTTGCCATGTCATCCAGGCTGGTCTCGAGCTCCTGGGCTCAAGTGATCCACCCACCTCGGTCTCCCAAACCATTGGGAATTGCAGGCATGAGCCACCATTCGTGGCATGTTTTTTTTTTTTTTGAGATGGAGTCTCACTCTGTTGCCCAGGCTGGAGTGTAGTGGCGTGATCTTGGCTCATTGCACCCTCCACCTCCCAGGTTCAAGCGATCCTCCTGCCCCATCCTCCTGAGTACCTGGGACTACAGCCGCGCGCCACCACACCCAGCCAATATTTTTTATATTTTTAGTAGAGACAGAGTTTCACCACGTTGGCCAGGGTAGTCTTGATTCCCTTGACCTTGTTATCCGCCCGCCTCGGCCTCCCAAAGTGCTGGGATTACAGGCGTGAGCCACTGCGCCCGGCCTCCCTGTCATGTTTTTTAACCTATGAATTAGAAATTGTTATTGTCTTACGAAGTTCATATTTGTTTATATCCGCACATGTTAGTTTCCATTTTCTTTGCTCACTGAATATTTTTACACGTCAGACTTTTGGTTAGTGTTCATTTTCCATCTTCCTGAAGATGAATTTTTTTTACAAATTTATTAGTGAGGGCCTATTAGTACATTAGTAACTTCTCTCAGTTTTTGTCTGGAAATATCTTTATGTTGACCTCATTCTGAGTGAATACTTAGCAGAATACACAAATTGAGGTTGGCAGTTACTTTCTCTGAGCACTTTGAGCACATTGCTCTGTGTCATTGATTGTTGTGAAGTTATTGTGTATCCTTTCCTTTTTGGTAGCCTCCCTTTTTTTCTGGCTGGGTTTTAAATCTGATCTCTAATTTTGGTGTTTAGTATCTTGACTGTGATATGCTTAGGTGTAGCTTTCTTTTTATTATCTTGTGCAGGTGTTACTGTGAGGATTTGTGTCTTTCATGTATCTTTAAAACTTTACAGCTATTATCTCTTTGAATAGGACTTCTCACCCATTCTGTGTATTTTTGCCATCTAGAAGTCTGATTAGATGTTTATTAGTCACTCTCTCTCTATCCTTCCCTGACTCTTAAACTCTCTTTCATATCTTCCATCTCTGTGTCTTTCTGAGATACATTCTCAGTAATTTCTTCAGATGTCTTTTCCAGCCCAGTAATTATATCTTCAGCAATATCAAATCTGTTATTATCCAACCTATTTCTACATTTTTAAGTCAGTGCTTAAAATTTCCATTTCTAGTAAGTTTTGCTTAGTTCTTTTTCCAGACTGCCTGGTTAGTTTTCATAGCCTGTTGTTCCTTACACTTGGATGCGTCATGCTATTGCCAAGTAACTGATGAGAATCACTTTGTCTTCCATGAAGGAAGTATTGCTGTCATTTCTGACTCTCACTAAAACTGTACGCAAAGTTTAAACCAAACATTTGAGGTTTTTGGTTTTTTGTTTTGTTTTTTAAGAGAGCCTCATTCTGGAGTGCAGTGGCACGATCCCGGCTCATGGCAACTTCCACCTCCAAGTTCAAGCGATTCTCCTGTCTCAGCCTCCTGAGTAGCTGGGACTACAGGCACACACCACCACACCCAGCTAATTTTTTGTATTTTTAGTAGAGATGGGGTTTCACCATGTTGACCAGGCTGCTCTTGAACTCCTGGCCTCATATGATCCACCCACCTTGGCCTCCCAAAGTGCTGGGATTACAGGCATGAGCCTCTGCACCCAGCCTTGAGTTTTTATCATCTGTACTAGACGAGCAGCATGCCTGAGAAAATACTTCGTTTTGCTTGGCTTCCATGCAGTTGCTATTTCTCTGCCTTTTCTAACATAGTGCATAGACAGACCCTTGGTGAGGTGGTGTGCACTGCATGTTTTGTATTTTTTGCAGCTTTTACCATTGACAGCCTACATGTGATATTTTCTTTTGTTTTATTTTATACAGAATGCCCATAATGCTACGTAGTTCAAACTGTGTTCTTACTGGAAAAACGCCAGCAGAATTTGCCAAACTGAACGAATGTCCTTTAGATCCAGGTATGTGTGAAGTCTTGGATTTGCCCCACTTTCCTTATTCTTTTATTCTGCTGCTGCTGTTGTTTTAACATTTTGTCTCAAAAACAGTGCCAACTTTTCTACTTTATAATGAACTTGTTCACAAAACACCCAGAAATTTGTCTGTACCTTTATCTAGCTTTATGCTATTAGTCTGTATTTCTTTTTTTTTTCTTTTTTTTTTTTCGAGACAGTCTCTCACTCTGTCACCTAAGCTGGAGTGCAGTGGTGTGATCTCAAGCAGTCCTCCCACCTCAGCTTCACAAACAGCTGGGACTACAGGCTTGTGCCACCATGCCCAGCTCATTGTTGTATTTTTAGTAGAGATGGTGTTTTGCTATGTCATCCTGGCTGATCTCCTGGACTCATCCACCTTAGCTTCCCCAAATGCTGAGATTACAGGTGTGAACCACTGTGCCCAGCCCTATTAGTCTATATTTCTCAAAGACATACTGTTTCTTCTTTTATTTCAGACTTAAGACTTTAATATGCCACATTCTTGTTTATTGCCATGATTTGTCAGTCTTTTCTATCTTTGCCCAGCGGTTTCTTTTGGTATGCCTAAAAATTCAAGAATAATCTTCCAAAGTTACTGGCCTTGCCTCGTTGAAAAAAATCAAGTATCTCACTTCAGGCTCAAGTATTTCACTTCAGGCGGTTTTAAATGCAGTAAAGCCAGGGGAAGATGAAAGTATTTTTTTGTTTACATTTTGAAAAGTTTTATTTTTGTGCCTATTTCTAGGCAATTTCTTTTGTAAAATTTCAAACTTAGAACTTAACAGGACGTTTATCTTAATTCTTTAACTCATATTTCACATTGATTTATTTGAACTTATAGTTGCTTTAATCTTATTCCTGTAAAGTTACATTGTTGTAGAATCTCAGAAGTTTTGGAAAGAAGTTAATGAAGAATGTGACTTTACTAGACTGTAACAGAATGTTGCATAAGTCGAATATGTTGTATTGTTTTTGCTTATATTCTGCAGGTATAAAATGAAGTATTACTTTATCCTACTCTGAATTGTGTGCAAAAAAAAAATGATGATGCATGAATTTTTTCGAATATGCAATATTATTTGGAAACCTAATCTTAATCTACCATTATCACTGATTTGTTAGAAAACTTAGAGTAAATTTCAGTTTATATTGAAAATTGTCAGTTACACTTGTACTTAAGTGCTCTGACAACTAATTTATTTAACTTGTTTTTTCATTCACTTTCTACATATATCAGGGGCTGGTGATTCATAGACCAATAAGATATATTTCCTGTCCTCAAGATTTTATACAAATATAGCTCATTTGTATAAAATAATGTGCTGATCTTCAGTCCATAAAACAACATCAGATGGGCACAATGGCTCATACCTATGATCCCAGCGCTTTGAGAGGCTGAGGCAGGAGGATGGCTTAAGACAGCGAGTCAGCCTGAGAAGCATAGTGAGACCCTGTTGTTGGAAGAAATTTAAAAATTAGCTAGGCATGGTGGCACATGCCTGTAGTCCTAGCTACTGAGGAGACTGGGGCGGGCGAATCACTTGAGGTTAGGAGTTCAAGGTTGCAGTGAGCTATGATTGTGCCACTGCACTCCAACCTGGGCAACAGAGGGAGATCCTTTCTCAAAAAATAAAATCAGCAAACCCCTTTGAATCAAGTGTTAGCCAGTGCCATGAAGCAGTAGAAAAGGTAATCTGATTCACAAGATTCTTGCCATTACTAAATCAACACTGGTTGAGGAATAAATGATGAAGTTTTTCTTGTTTCCTTTGGGTAGGTGGCTACTTCATTGTTAAAGGAGTAGAAAAAGTTATTCTTATCCAAGAGCAGCTGTCTAAGAACAGGATCATCGTGGAGGCTGATAGAAAAGGAGCCGTTGGAGCTTCAGTTACCAGGTAAGATGGTGTCCTTAAAAAATATTGGTCATTCAATTAGTCCTAAATGGCTATCTTTCAATACAGAGGGAGCCAGTTATTACCTCTAAAAGCAGGCATTGTAATATTTAAGCTATCTGCATTCAATTTATTATGAAAGTCTGGAAGCATAGGGTATTGATTTTAAAATTTCAGTGATGGGAGTCTGAGACATCGTTTGAAAAGTCACTGTTTAAGCTGAATTTTATCTTAGCTTATAGAACATGAAAGGAGATTTTTAAAGAGAAAAAATATAAAACCACTCTTAAGTTTTTCATGCTCCTTTTCAGCCTTTTACCATTTACTTGTGTATTCCTGCAGCAGTATGATCAGGGACTATTTGACCCTTAATACTAAATGACCTCTATTATGGACTTAACACCCTATTGTTAGTTTTCTAGACCAGCCTCTTTCACAGTGTACTCATTTTTACAACAGTATCCCTTTCGAGGCTTCTGTAACTTTTTATTTTCACATGTAATTTGAAATGTGGAGGTTAATGAGTTCTGGGAATAGAAAGATTTGTGGCATAGATAAGATGTCAGAGTGTAGTAGTTTCCCGTTTGATAACCTACAACGAACTGATTAACTCAGAGTTTCTGTACTTTTCTTTCTGATGGAGAGGCAGTTAACAATGATGGTCATTCGTCGAGTACTTACCAGCAGCCAGGCAAAATACTAGATATATTATTTGTCACCTCAGTCTTCCAAGATAAGTGGTACTGTTAACATCTTCATTTTACAACTAACAGGCCTTAAGCTCAGCCCTTGACTGTAAGGGGTAGATAGCCTTTGAACCCAGATACAGTTAATTCTATAGTCCATGTCTTCCCACTATCTAAACTTTGGAGCCAGGGCAATTTCAATTTGAATTTGAATCCTAAAGCCTTTGTTTTCTAGATATGAGGCACTGGAACGTGCAGTTACTTAACTTCTCTAAGTCTTGGTTTCCTCCTATGTGATTTTGAGATAATACTTCAAAGTCTGACTATGTAGAAGATTAGAGCTAATATAAGTAACGTGGGTAACAATGCATAGTAGCAGGTAATCTGTGTGTGTTACTAATGTGGTTGATTAGAGCTTTTAAAATGCTTTGAAATCCATTAGAAATTTTATAACTAACACAGATACCAATAGAAGGATATTCCTTTCTTTTGGCTTTACTATATACCAAGACTGTGGGTATGTTTTGTTGAATTACTAGTTTAAAAACTCACATAAATTCATTTCTTTTTAATTTCCTCTTTATGGTTAAGGCCCATATTATAAAATTGGCCTTGTATATATGCTCTACACTGGATCAAAGTATTCAGGTGGAGTCAAAGTGAAGTTGGTCAGAAAGTAGTTGTCACTCATTCACACACAGAACTTCCATCATAATCTCAAAGTCAAAGAAAAATTTATCATGTTTTTAAATGTTCACAGAAGTGGCAGCTGGGCAGGAAAGGGATTGTCTTTTTAAAGTACTTACTAGAAAGGACCTTGTCATTGTTGTTGATCAGTTGACCCTTGTTGATTAATGATCAGTGCTATTGCATGTTATTAGCTTGAAACTCAGTGGGGATGCAGTTTAACCAACTTGTATTTACTCATAGCTCTACCCATGAGAAAAAAAGCAGAACCAATATGGCTGTGAAACAAGGACGATTTTATTTGAGGCATAATACTTTGTCAGAAGATATACCCATTGTCATCATATTTAAGGTAAAGCTGCAGCTCTCTTCTGAAAATTATAAGAATTCTTTCTCTGGTTTATTTACATATATAATTAGAGATTTGGAAGGTAAGGAATTCTTGGAGTAGAAAGATTTGTGATGTAAGTTGTCAGTCATATGATGTATTTTAAATTGAAAGCTGGCTGGGCATGGTGGCTCATGCCTGAAATCCCAACATTTTGGGAGGCCAAGATGGGCAGACTGCCTGAGCCCAGGAGTTTGAGACCAACTTGGGCAACATGGTGAAACCCCCATCTCTACCAAAAAAAAAAAAAAAAAAAAATAGCTGGCTGTGGTGGTGTGCACCTCTACTCCCAGCCACCCAAGAGGCTGAGGTGGGAGGATGGCTTAAGCCTGGGAGGCAAAGGTTGCAGTGAGCTGAGATTGTGCCACTCTGCTCCAGCCTGGACAACATAGTGAGATCTCATCTCTACAAATAATAAAAACATTAGCCAAGCTTGGTGGCGTGTGCCTATAGTTTCACCTATTTGGATTGCTGAGATGGGAGGATCACACAAGCCCAGGAAGTCAAGGCTGCAGTGAGCCGTGATCATGCCACTGCACTCCAGCCTGGGCAATACAGCAAGACCCTATCTCAAAACTAAAGAAAAAAATCAGCTTATTTGTGAATTGTTGGCCTAGAATGCAAAAAACATTTTCCATAGAAACAATATTGAAATGGTATAGTGTTCTTAGATACAGGCATACTTCAGAGATACTGCTCGTTTTGTTCCAGACCACCACAATAAAGCTAATATCACAGTAAAGTGAGTCACACAAATATTTTACTTTCCCAGTGTATACAAAAGTTATGTGTATACCATACTGTAGTCTGTTAAGTGTACAATAGCATTATGTATAAAAAATACATGCCTCAATTAAAATATACTTTTTTGCTAAAAAATTGTAACAATTATCTGAGTCATAATCTTTCAGTGAGTTAGAATCTTTTTACTGGTAGAGGGTCTTGCCTCAGTGTTGGTGGCTACTGACTAATCAGGGTGGTGGTTGCTGAGGGTGGCTATGACATTTTCTTAAAATAAGACATCAGTGAAGTTTGCCACAGCTATTGACTCTTACTTCGTGAAAGATTTCTCTGTAGCACACAATGCTGTTTGATAGCATTTTACCCACAGTAGAACTTCTTTCAAAAATTAGAGTCAGTTGTCTTAAGCCCTGCTGCTGCTTTGTCAATGAAGTGTACGTAATATTCTACATCCTTTTTTGTTATTCCAACAATGTATACAGCCTCTTCACCAGTATTAGATTCCATTTCAAGAAATCACTTTCTCTGCTTATCATTAAGAAGCAACTCCTCACCTGTTCAAGTTATATCATGAGATTACACCAATTCAGTCACATCTTCAGGCTCCACTTCTACTTCTAGTTCTCTTGCTATTCCCACCACATCTGCAGCTACTTTCTTCACTAAAGTCTTAAACCCCTCAGAATCATCCTAGAGGATGGGAAGCAGCTTCTTTCAAACTTTTGTTAATGTTGATATTTTTACCTCTTCTCATGAGTCACAGATATATAGACATTCTTTTTTTTTTTTTTTTTTTTTTAAGGTGAAAGCAAGTTTATAAGAAAGTAAAGAAACAAAAGAATGGCTACTCCATAGGCAGAGCAACCCCAAGGGCTGCTGGTTGCCCATTTTAATGGTTATTTCTTGATTATATGCTAAACAAGGGGTGGATTATTCATGAGTTTTCTGGGAAAGAGGTGGGGAGTTCCCAGAATTGAAGTTTCCTCCTCCTTTTAGACCATATAGGGTAACTTCCTGACGTTGACATGGCATTTATAAACTATCATGGCGCTGGTAGGAGTGTGAGGACGACCAGAGGTCACTCTCATTGCCATCTTGGTTTTAGTGGGTTTTGGCTGGCTTCCTTACTGCAGTCTGTTTTATCAGCAAGGTCTTTATGACCTGTATCTTGTGCCAACCTCCTGTCTCATCCTGTGACTAAGAATGCCTTAACCTCCTTGGAATGCAGCCCAGTTGGTCTCAGCCCCTGTTCAAGAGAGAGTCACTGTGGTTCGAACACCTCTGACATATTTCCCTCTTTCCCTTTTATAAGACAACCCTAGTCCTAAGGTTCGTAGAAGGATGAAGACCCATCTTCCATAACTTCTTCAGGCTGAATAGGAATGATGATATTCCTGCCTAACTATTAGGGTCTCTCGTATTCAGGGGAATCACAGATATTCTTATTGGCATCTAGAAGAGTGAATCCTTTCCAGAAGGCTTCCAGTTTACTTTGTCCAGATCCATCAAAGGAATCACTATCTATGGCAGCTATAGCCATAAGACTTGAAAGTTGAAATTACTTCTTTATTCATGGGCTGCAGAATAGATGTTGTGTTAGCAAGCACAAAAACATTGATCTTGTACATCTTTATCAGAACTCTTGGTGACTGAGTTCATTATCAATGAGCAGTAATGTTTTTAAAGGATCTTTTTTTCTTAGCAGTTCTCAACAGTAGACATAAAATATTCAGTGAACTATACTGTCAACTGATGCGCTGTCATCCAGACTTTGTTGCTTCATTGGTAGAGCACAGGCAGAGTAGATATAGCATAATTCTTAAGAGCCTTACGATTTTCAGAATGGTCAATGAGCACTGACTTGAACTTCTTTTTCTAGACCCTCACAAGAAAGTCAGCCTGTCCTTTGAAGCTTTGAAGCCAGGCATTGACCTCTCCAGCTGTCAAAGTCCTAGACAGCATGTTAGAAGTCTTTCAATAGAAGTCTATTTCATCTACATTGAAAATCTGTTGTTTAGTGTAGACACCTTCATCAGTGATCTTAGCCAAATCTTCTGGATAACTTGCCGCAGCTTCTCCATCAGCACTTGCTGCTTCGCCTTGCACTTTTATGTTATGGAGATGGCTTCTTTCCTTAAATCTCATGAACCAGCCTCTGCTAGTTTCCAACTTTTCTTCTGCCCCTTCCTCCCCTCTCTCAGCCTTCATAGAACTGAAGAGAGTTAGGCCCTTACTCAGGATTATGCTTTAACTTATTGTGGCTGGTTTGCTCTTCTATCCAGCCCACTAAAACCGTCTACATATCAGCAATAAGTCTGTTTCCCTTTCTTATCGTTGATATGTTCACTGGAATAGCACTTTTAATTTCTTTCAAGAACTTTTCCTTTGTGTTCACAACTAGGCTAATTGGTGCAAGAGGCCTAGTTTTTGGCCTGTCTCAGCTTTTGACACGCCTTTCTTTCTAAACTTAATCGTTTCTACCTTTTGATTTATGGTGACAGATATACAACCCTTTTTTTTACTTGCATACTTAAGAAGCCATTCTAGCATTATTAATTGGCCTAATTTCACTATTGTTGTATCTCAAGGAATAAGAAGGCTCAAGAAGGGAGAGAGATGGGGGAATAGCTAGTTGGTGGAGCAGTCACAACACACATATTTATCGATTAAATTTTTCATCTCTTATGAGCACAGTTTGTGGAACCCCAAAACAGTTACAATAGTAACATCAAAGAACGCTGATCAGCTGGACGCAATGGCTCACGCCTATAATCCCAGCACTTTGGGAGGCTGAGGCGCGGGGATCATTTGAGGTCAGGAGTTCGAGACCAGCCTGACCAACATGGTGAAATCCCATCTCTGCTAAAAATATAAAAATTAGCTGGGTGTGGTGGCACACGTCTGTAATCTCAGCTACTTTGGGAGGCTGAGGCAGGATGATTGCTTGAACCTGGGAGGTGGAGGTTGCGGTGAGCCTAGATTGCGCCACTGCACTCCAGCCTGGGCAACAGAGTGAGACGCCGTCTCAAAAAAAAGAAAAAAAAAAAGATCGTTGATCACAGGTCACCATAACAGTGAAAAAGTTTGAAATATGGCAAGAATTTACCAAAATGTGACACAGGGATATGAAGTGAGCACATGCTGTTGAAAAAATGACACCAATAGACTTGCCTGAAGCAGGGTCAGTCTGCAAGCAGGGACAAACCTTCAATTTGGAAAAAGACAATATCTACAAAGCCCAATAAAGCAAAGCATGATAAAATGATATGTACCTATAGTGACACAGAGACCCATTTAACCTGCTCTAAGACATAAATACTATATACATTCAGTGAACAGTTAAGTTGTCGTATTAGTTATCAAGCAAAATAAAAAAATAGTTGGCATTGTGTGATACAGTTAGTTGATCCTCAGTATTTGCAAATTCCCTGTTTGTGAATTCACTTACTTGCTAAAATTTATACATAACCCCAGAATCAATACTTGCGGTGCTTTTGTGGTTATTTACAGATATGCACTGACATGGAGTGGTAAAAACTTAAGTCACCCAGCGCACATATTCCCAGCTGAGACTGAACAAGGCAACACTCCGCCTTCTTGTTTCAGCCCTTATGTTGTAATCAAGTGTCTGTTTTGCAGTCTATTTAGTGCCGTATTTTTTGTATTTTTGTGCTTTGTTGATTTGCAGTATAAGATGGCCCCCTAGTGTAATGCTAAAGTTCCGTCAAGGTGTTCCAAAGGACAAACAGGCTGTGATGTGCCTTCCAGAGGAAATATGTGTTAGATAAGCTTTATTCAGGCATGAGTTATAGTGCTGTTGGCTGACTTCAAAGTTAATGAATCAGTGATAAATATCTTTTTTTTTTTTTTTTTTTTTTGAGATGGAGTTTTGCTCTTTCACCTAGGCTAGTGTGTAATGGTGCGACCTTCGCTCACTGCAACCTCCCTTCCAGTTTCAAGCTATTCTCCTGCCTCAGCCTCCCAAGTAGCTTAGGATTACAGGTGCCCTCCACCACGCCCAGCTAATTTTTGTATTTTTAGTAGAGATGGGGTTTCACCATGTTGGCTAGGCTGGTCTTGAACTCCTGACCCTGTGATCCTTCCGCTTTGGCCTCCCAAAGTGCTGGGACTACAGGCGTGAGCCACAGCGCCTGGCCTTAAATATCTTTTAAAAGAAGCACACAGAAAATAAGATTCTGTATTGATTAGTTGAGGAAAATGTT